GCAGCTCCAGCAGACCCACCGGACCTGACAGAGCCCCGCCCCCCAGGCCTGCTCTCAGCCGGCCCCCCACAGGCCTTGCCAGCCCAGCCCGAGCCCCGGAGCCCCAGGGGCCGCGTGAGTGGCCCGCGGGCGCCGACCAGGGCAAGCGCCTGTACCTGGCGCCTGTACTCCAGGAGGGCGTCGTACAGCTTCCAGCCGTCCTCGGGGAACTGCTCCTTGTACTCGAAGGCGAAGAGAGGCTGCGGCAGAGCACAGTGAGAGGCGCAGGGGCCCGGAGTGTCGCAGGTCTCCCGGCCTCCCGGCGGGGCCGTCCTTGGGGCCCCTTCTCCACACGTCGGCGTCAGGGACTGCAGCACTGTCGTCTCCCGTTTCTCAAGCAGAGGTCACGCGGAGGCCAGCCTGGGGCACGCAGCGCTAGGGCCCAGCCCGGGAAGCCGGCCGCGCCGCCGCGGGGGCTCCGCCCCGGCCGAGAGCCACCACAGGGCAGCGGAGCCCTCCCGCCTCCCGCCGCGATCTGCCTCTGGGCAGTCCTCGCACCCCCACCCTGGCCTGCACCCCAGTTCTGTGCGTTTCAATAAATCGTTAAGAAGCCACAAGACCCACCAGCAGCGTTTACCCAAAGCTGCCCGTCAGCTTGTTTCTGCCGGGGTCGCGGCGGCCCCTGCCGCCTGCCTGGCAGATAAGGAAGACGCCAGGCCGCCCTCCGAGGCGCCGAGCACACTCCCGGGCGCGGCAGCCCGGACCGAGCTGTACCCCCAGGCCGGCACAGCAGCGCACGGGGCAGCTCACTGCCCGCCAGCGACGCCCGAGGGGGCAGGCCCGGCGCCGGCTAGGGGCTGGGAGGGGAGCAGCCGGCGGCGCGGGACAGGCTGGCACCAGCGCCCAGCTGCCACCTCGGTGGCTTCACCTGCAGCGAGCAGTCCTGGACGCCAGGCGCAGGGCTGTGTCGGCGGCGGGAGCCGGCCCGGGCCGGGAGGCGCCGCCGCGGCCGCTAACGGCCTTTCCCAGCAAGAGCCGCTCACCAGGTTATTGGACACCGGAAACGCGTATTTCATCAGATTCTCGAAGATGGATCTTCTGGTCCGCCCCTCGGGTTTGTGAGCGAACCGCAAGTTCCGGATGTCCTAGGAGAGACGCAGGGTCCGTCTGCCGCTGCCCGTGCGCCGCGTCGTGGGCCGCGGACCGGCCTCCACGGCCGCCTGTG